TTTGCCGGATCGGTGAACTGTCCGATGCACCGAGCGCGACTTTTCTGAAGCGACAGCCGGAGAGTGCGACGAACCTGAATACCACATGGCATGAATGGTGAATACATTGCTGAAGAGAATTTCAAGTGACCTAGCTGGCAAGCTGATATGATCAATATGCCAATTGATCGTCCTGCCTCAAGCGTAAAGTCTGCAGACTTAATTAGCAGGTAAGCTGCAACACCTCGTCCAACTGGATCAATCCTTGCTGATTCAGGTCGTACAACAGGAGGGCACCCTCATAACTCATAACCCCGTCACTCGAATCGTATGCGAAGCGAACAAACCGTATGTCTGCTTGAGCTCCCCTACACCAATGCGATCGCATGCTGCCTATCCCTTCCATACGCCAAGCGATCTAGCTGCTTTAAAAAGAGCACCCCCAACGTGAACCAGCGATCACAAGCTATAGAAAGGCATGAACTCTCTCATTCATACACAGCCCTCAGGTCCGAGGGACGCTGGCTTTTTGCTGGAATATTGTGGACCAAAGATCAATATGTCACCGGACTCTGTCTGCTAATCCCTGTTGGAAATATGGATAAATTGGCCTAGTCAATCCACCGGGATTTTTTGGTGTATTGCTGTACTGGTGGCCGCCAAAAGCCCAATATAAAAGACCGTTTAATTTGTTTAAATCTGGTACGTATCCGCAATCGACTGAGGTGCTCGAAGCTAATGGAGAGAAGACCATGTGAAGATTTTGCAGCATCTCTTATGTGGGATTGATCAAGGCAGGGCAACCCCCAACAAGCTTGATATGGAGGCCCGAGATTTGCCGGCCATTAGGGACTCGGAATTCTACCGAAATATTTTGACGGAAATTTTCGTTGCTATTACCAGCAATTACTCCTCAGTCTTGCGCCTCCGACATCAATCCGAACACATGTGCCGGTAATCATCGTGAGCATCCCTCGCCAAAGTATTCATCAGCCGGATGACAAGATCGTGTCAGTCTAGGTAGTAGTCAGCAACAGGACCGAATGAGACAAGCGGCGTTGCTATTGAGCACAATCTGCGATTCGTGTGTAAAATCAACGTAGGAGATTGGCTTGACTCAATACTTACTTCTTTTCTATTTAACAGGCCATAGTTCTGCAGTATCGTGACACGAGTTCTTATAGCCCTTCAATGTATTTATAGGAGCTAGCAGGCTGATGGGTTACGGCATTTCTGGCACGTTATGGTCCCCCGGAACGTTTCATGGCTCCAGGGGGGTAGGAATTAGATTTCAGGAATGAAGACAATCCTCGTATGATGGCACAAAGCTTCCAGAAGCGCTGTATAAGAGATAGGAAGCCGCTGAGAGCGTTCCTGGGCCCAATAAAAGGTCCTCAGGCTGTAATGCATTTTGGGGAATGCCCTTGTCGTTCCCTGGGCCTTTCAGCTAGCTTTGCAAGGGTCTCACGCATAGATAAAGATGGATAGTGTCTCGGGTTAAATTGACTCTGAATACCAGATATAGCGCGAAGAAGCAAAAGAAATAAGTGCTTGCTTGCGTTCAAGGGAGCCTAGATACACTTTGTGGGTTCCCCTATCATATTCTCTGCACTCCTCGCCTTTGCCTTATGTATATATCCCTGACTGGCTCCCAGGGGCTTTAGTGTTTCCTTGAGCGGAAGGTACCACTCGGAAATGAGTAGCAGCTTACAGCCTTCAAGGAACCAGATGTACTGCGACGTTGACGCGACAAGCAAAGCTAGACTAGTAGACACCATGGTAGACTATCTGGATTTGCAATATCAGTTCAATATCCAGTTCAATTGGCCGGCAGGGTCTTGTCCGGGGCCAGGCCCTTGACTTTGGTTGTGCATGTTGTTGGGATTGGGTATATCTCGCGGTGAATAAGGTGAATTCGGCGCGGAGCATTTGGCCTCACTGTCATACCCATGCTTCTCAGGCTCTTCTAGTCTGTCGCTTGCCTCACAATCTTGATCCTGAATAGCGATCCCGATGGAGTTTGCGGTTTGATCATTCTTGGATGACTTCATTAAGTGCGGAGGCAGGCTAACCTTCAGCACCAAGGGGCTAGATCGGCTCGATCTTGAAGGGGTTTTCGGCATTCCACACTCTACCTGGATTCCCATTCGCCTAGCCAGCTGCCTCAATGAGTTTACACTGTACTGATTCCCCGTGATCTTCCAGTAGTCGTCTGCTATCTCTGGCCAGGACATATGAGTTCGGCCACGCATAAAGTCTGCAAATGCTGTTTTCTCTGCCCTGTTCCAGCGATGGCGAGACTGTAGGCGAAGCACGTCTTTCCCCCCGGAGTTTGCGCAACTGTTTTCTCTTTCTGATGCAGCATGGACCTTATGCAGCGTACGTTCCTGGGTTTGCACTAGTCGGTGATCAGGTGGTGGAGGTTGTGGTACACAAATCGGCAAGGTGCAATTCTCATCACCCCCTGAATCCCCGAGTGAAGGCCTTAGAGGTGAAAACCGTGAAGACATGGTCGACACTTGGTTGGCAGGCTCAATGGAGGAGGCTGCGATTCCGGCCGGAGCCGAGAGAATATTGCTATATTCTTTCAGTTGTTTCACAACTTGTTGGATCTTCGCAAAAGCTAATGATGGTTAGCTGCATGGCACAGGAATCTTTCACGATATTTGAGGCCTCTTACCTTGCATAATATCTTTACCCAGCCCAGACATGTCGCCTAGCAGGGTAGTTATGGTCTCCTGTTCTGCTTTCAAATCCTCTGGGAGGGGCCCCGAGCAAAAAATTTTCCGAAAAACTGGAGAGCAAACTGCTTCTCGGTCATGTTTGGTCAATTCTATTGTCAGGCCTTGCGCCCGGTAACAAAACATTTCATTCCCATGCGGTTCGAACTGGCCAGGGTGCGCCTTCCGAATGAGATCCACCCAGCTCGGAATAACTCCGTGGCCATTCGCCGGATCCTTCCATCTCAACGATACGCGGGCAAGGACTGCTGAAGGAACCACCGATGATGTCTTCCACTCGACTGCCGAGTAGAGGTACGCTTAGACGCCTCGCGATACCATTTCCCTCATCGAGAGCCGTAGAGTATGAGCCCAATGACCCAAGAATAAGCCCAACTGTTGCGCGCAAATCAGAAATCTTCTGTAATTGATCAGGTTTTGGACAAGCAATTAAGTCCAATTGAGAATGACGCTGATCATGAACCGACAGAGGAGCTTCGGCGGTGTCACGGGTTTGTTCCATGTTTTGATGGTCACAAAGTCCTACCTTTGGGCTCAAAAGGTCCAACATACACGATGACTCTTTTTAGAGACGCGCACGCCAGTTTTTATTGTGAACAAGGGGGAATATTCCTCGCACCCCCGAGTGCAGAATTAGTGCTGTTATATACCCAGGATTATCAGCAGCTTTATGTCGTTACCCGGCCCCACTTGTCACTGAGCTAGCTATTCACATGTGCCTTTCGGCCAAGTAAAGAGTTTGTTGGATCGCGTACTGGTCTCGAAAAGTTTATTTCTTTGTTTGTTTTTTTTTTTTTTTTTTCTATTCTATTTTAGATCTAGACCAAAGCCAACCACATGTGAAATTTGTCACTTGTAGCGCCGTTGGTGATGGGTTTGATTAGCGCGCAAGAAGACAGGTTAGCTCTCCTGCTAATGCAAGCACATTGAGACTAATTTTTGATGCGAGACTTCCCGCTCGGGAAATGTGATGCGGCTCTCCGCAACGGAAGTATTTGCAAAATGTTGCACCTGAGGGTGCACCAACCTTTGGCTTGATGGCATGGCAACAATTATGAAGATTTTCGCCTCACTCACTGACTTTGATTAAAAAAGATTGTTCATCCCTGACCTATATTGGGGCTTGTGTCGCTCCGCAAAAAAGAGCTAAGCCATGGCGAACGTTTGCCGATCAACAAGCCACTGCTCTCGACGGGCCCACACATTTGATCCTATCCCGTCTTACTTTTAGTAAATTTCATGACTTAACCTATTAGTCTCATACAAGAAGCTTTGAGTGATGGTTTACCAATGGGATCTAAACAAGCAAAGAATGAAGATTGACAAAATGGTAGAGTATTCTATGTATTCATATTGATCTGTGTTGTCTCTGGCCCGGGACCGGGCACGGTCCGCACGGTGGACCCCCCCCCACCCCGATGTTTACCCCTGAGATTAGGTCCTTCCCCTCTGTCGTGCCCCATCGCACACTTCTTGAGCTAGGGATGTGATGATGGCAATACCGCACAAATTGCAAGGTATTGCTGAGTAGCCTGAATGACCGATTAATGATTCCGGTGGGCAGACCAGGAATGTGAGGCATTTTGAGCAGACTTTAAACGAGCATCAGTCTGAGGGGGCAGCTCTTGACTCAACAACCTCCTTACTTGACAAACCACCCATGGTTCCAAAGTGGGTCTGGGGGCCAACAAGGCGAGGGACAAAGGAAATGAGGCGATCCAGTTAATCCTCGCCAGTCTTTAGGCGCTGTTGGTGATCATAGCAGTCGGGATCTGCCGGAACACGATCATATTTAGACTCGGTACCATAATTTCAGGCATTGTAGAAACTTAGCCAATCGACATAGAGGATAGTGTCATAGGGGGCGGAAGTAATAGCGAATGCTTTTGGGGTTTTTCGTCCACATGGTTGCATTCTGGGAAAACACTCGGACGGCTAGTGCGTGACCCGGGCTAATTCCGATACCCCCGACACGCTAAATCATCAACGGGCTGTATTATCCTGCAAAAGCATTGACTAGGATTATTGAGCGCCGTCTGCTGCCATGTTCCATTGTCAAAAAATTAATTTGCAAAACAGCATCGCCATCAACCTTCGCTTGGTGATCCGACCGGAGGAGTTCCGGGCATCATTGCCGATTGACGGGAAACTACCCATCAATGAGGGGGGAGCGGCTGAGGTCGTCTGCTTTTCTCTCCTCTTTCCCTGCCCTGTCTTGCGCAGCATTATTGAAAATGCCCTAAGACCAACGCATTAATTAGTACTAGGTTAGTGGGAATAATGCCGCCAGAATTCTGGTTTCCCGCGGTGCAGCCTCACTACCGCGCGGGAAATAGCCCGAACTGCGAGCTCCCACCCGTGCAGTCGGTGACGTCGTGCGCATTCCCGGCTCCGCCGAGCAGACCAAAGAATGGCATGCAAAAGGCTCATCTATCACAGCCCTTGCCACAACATTCATCAGCCGCGCCAGTGGCATCACCATACCAACGACTCCACGACTCCGTCTTATGCTCACCCGGCGAGGGTGGCCCGGTCTCTGATGCGCCGCCATTGGGGCCAGCCCCGAGCAATCTCTACCGAATCAATCCCTTCGGCCATGGCCAATCAGCAACCACGCAACTACAGCGGAAGCGCGCACATCGCCAGCGTAGAAAGGATCCTAGTTGCGATGCTTGTCGCGAACGCAAGGTCAAATGTGACGCTTCGGGGTCATCTAGTTGTACTGAATGCAGTAATCGCAAGGTCCGCTGTCAGTTCACCAAGGAGACGAACCGTCGCATGTCGTATATCAAACAGGTCCAAGATCTTGAGAAGCAGCTGCAGAATTCCAAACAGCAGTTCCAGCACCTGCAGACAAGAATGATGCGGCCGGATTGCATGGCCGATATGGATAGAGGCGTTCCGCAGACGATAATCAGATTGCCCGAAATCGAGCACCGCCCCATGCGTCGGTTAAATGCGCCTATTTCTCGGGATTTTTCCGATGTGCGTTCCAATATCCGCTATCATGGCCGTGGCATCTTGAATGTGCCCACCCCTTACCGCGCGCGGGGTGCAGAGTCACTGGTAACGGGTGATGCGGTGGACCTGCCGCAGAAGCACCTGGCAGACCGTCTCTTGGCGCAGTACTTTAATTGTATCCACTCCGTGCTGCCGGTGCTTCACTGGCCCATTTTCATCTCGGAGTATGAGGAGGTTTATCGGTCGGGCTCGTTGTTGGGGGTTTCCTTAGAATGGGCGGCTGTTCTATTTGGCGTGTTCGCCTGCGGTGCTATTCACTCGATGGAGCCGAACAGCGAAGAGGAAGGCAGGAAATACGCTCGCATCTCTTGTGGCATTATCGATGTCTGGCATGACCACTTTAACTTGGATCGAGCTCGGGCCGCTTTGCTGGCAAGCATCTTTCTCTACGAGGTCAACTCAAAGTCGGCCAGCGGGGTGTGGATTGGTTCAGCCGTGCGCGTAGCCCAAGAGATTGGGTTGCACATTGACTCCGGGCCCTGGCCTGCAGTCGAAGGGGAGATGCGAAAGCGCGTATGGTGGGGGCTATATGCCTGGGATGGATTATTCGCGCTCGAGATGGGGAAGCCGACATTGATCAACGATCAAGACTGCGATGTCGATCTTCCATGCCTGGCGGACGAACAACATATCACAGAGAGAGGCAAGATCCCCGACAACCAGCAAACCACGTCACTATTAGCAACCGTTCATGTCATCCGCTCAATTGGCCAACTCACCCGCACCCTCCGCTCAGCAGCCATCAGCCCAGTGACCCTCGAAACCTTCGAACCCCACTTCAACACCTGCCTCACAACCATCACCGCCCAAGTTCACCCAGAAAACGACAAAGATCTTGACACCCGCTCCCTCATCCCGGTCTTCTATCTCCAAAACGCCCGCCTCCTCCTCCACCGCCATAACATCTCCCCCTCCTGCCCGGATATCATCCGCTCTTCCGCAATAGACTATTGCGTCTCCACAGCCCTTGACACAACAAACATCGTCGCCCGCTGCACGCGTAGCCATCCAACCCCTGGCCCAGGGAACGGCCCCCGCTCCCTTTTTGCCTCCTGCGCCGGCTCCCTCCCCTGCACCCACATCTGGCGCTGCACGCTCTTCCTCCTTTTTCGCGCCGAATATGCGGGGGCCCTCATCTGCGTGCAAGCCCTAGCGTCGATCGGAGACGCCCGTCTTGTCAACGTAGCCTGTGGCCGCTACCTCGCCTTCTTCCTCCGTATTCTCTTCGCCCGAATCCGCGCCAAAGGACACGTTCCCGATCTCGATTGCGACGAAGAAATGATTGCCTACGTCTCAGGCGATATGCAAGGAACCAGCGACGGCAGTTGGGTCTGGCACGGCTCTGAGACTGGATCGCAGCTTGAAGGTATGGGGTACGCCGGTCGGACCACGCCAAATTGCGCTGGCCGGCCGGAGATAGAGACAGATTTCGATTGGGAGGGGTGGGAGGGGTGGGAGTGGATTGAGAAGACTGTTCAGAGTCTACATAATGAGCACCATCGCCAGACGAATTGTGGACAGCCCGAAATACTCATGGCAGAGCTGAAACAGGAAGTCTCTTCTACTCCTGCCCCAGAAGCGGCCTCTAATACCGACAGGCGGACGAGTTCTGCACCTTCATGCATGTCGATTGCTAGCATTATCTAAAACGGATATTTCTCTACGTGCGTTTTTTTTTCCCTCCTCAGCCTTGGTAATTCAGCATCAGTGGCGAGTCAGCTACCGGATGATTAAGCGACATATATTCCACCGCATTATATCCTTGATCTGGCGGTCTGGTTTGGATTTTGCTAATACTTCCAAGTACTTCAAAGCAATGCGTTTATTAGCAAAATATCTCATATCGATATTGCATCGTAGCTTTGATATGTATATTGCAAGTGAAGACACCGCGAAGATTCATTATATACCAAGAGAAGCTGCCGGAATCCCCATCAGGTCGATGGGGTTGACTCAGCTGCCGGTGTGAGGTCGCTTCCTGGGGTTGCTGGACTTCTTGGGTAGTGGTCCGGCACGTTTACCAATAGAGTCCTCGCTCCTTTGCAGGTAGACGACGAAATCATAATAATGAGTGAAGTCCAGGTGAGTTTTGTCAGCCTCATCGCGGACTCTATTCGACAGATGCTCGAAGAGATGGCGCATGCGGTCACGCTCTGACAAATTATTGTGGAAATGTGACTCCCACTGCTGTATCCAGTTGGAGAAATCAGTAACAGACTGGAATGGGCGTTGGTGGCTATCCACGTAGCGCGCCTTGGCTACCTCCGGATAGACTCCAATTTGGAGCTGGTGAATAAGAAAAGTGCAAAGTCCACCAAATGTAACCTGCTCACTGGGCATATCGCGTATGTGGCGCTTCCACTCATTCTGCAGATTAAAGGCAACGTGCTTTAAGGCCCGGGCGATTTTGCGCTCGTCGGTAATGTACCAGCCTGGATATTTGTCAAAGTAACGTTCCAGGCCCCTAGCATAAGTTTTGAATTCCCCGAGAGCGCGCCCATGGTACACTGGTATGTTCGGGACTGGAGAAGTTTGGTTGTTTGGATTGGCGGGGGCTTGGTGAGGTAACGTGGCCGATATTCTAGCAGTAGTAAGAACCCCTAATGTTTCCAATTTGGAATTCGCGGGGCCATTCAAAGCGGTATTCTCAGGTTTAACGGGTGAAAATTTAGGCTGGGGCGTACGGAAAGAGGGACGGACAGTCTGCTCAGACGGTGCAATAAGAGCACTGCTGGGAGCTTGGATAATACTAGCTTTGCTATACCCGTTTTGAATCGGCGTAGCAAGTACCCTGTGTTGTGTATTGCCCGAGTCGTTCACAATAGGAC